ATATGAAAGGAATGTATTTTCATTACGTTTGATAACCAAACCATCTCTTTCAGAACATGATCCCATTGTGCTTTTGGACGTTGAGGTTCTTTGGGAGCTTCTAGTGCCTAGAGTAATAAAATTACAACATAAAATATTTTAATACGTTAGTCCAGCATATCCTAGGAACCCAAATTAGTATATCACTGTGAAGTATCAATGTAAAGTTGTTCTATTGCTATGATCCAATCCGTATTCCAAAACAAGATTAAAATTCCTCTCATGATGAATATCCTGATTTGAGATGGAATCCCAACTACGACGTCATTTGGCATATATATAAACTGACAACTATATGAGGTAATAAAAACAATGTTTAAGGATGATTCTTCTTTCACAATTTTATAGATATGATTTTGAATTTAAGAGTTAGAATCCAAATACTGAATTTGGTTGGACACTAATTCAAGGATTTGCAAATCATTTCCAATTTTACAATTAGCTCTTCTCCTTTATGTGTAAATCTATAATTTAGCAATATTTTGGACCTACAAATGCTTAAGTTAATGAAGAGTAAGTTACAGTACAAAAGGATTAAAAAAGAAAGAAAAACTCAACTGGAATTTGAGTATCAAATTTAGATCTCAAAAGCAAATTTTTTAAAGATCTCGGGATATTCAAACAACAGGATTCCATTCTCTCTAAACAACGAAATGAATGTTCTGGAAGAAAGATTATTTTTTTAGACCCAATTCACTTTCAAACGGTCGAGGCTGAATGGAATGGCTGAAAAAGAAAAAGAAAAAAGAGCTTACCAAGGGTGGCTGAATCACTCTTTCCATTCGTGTAAATTCAAGGGGTGGACAATTTTAGATTGATCTAAGCTGGTATCATTTACAGCTTGAAAGCTCAAGTGGAAAGTTAATTCCCTCAACTCTTAGATTCCACGGTAGGTCGTGGTGGTGATGGGTTGGAATTGGTGGGTTAGGGAGAAGACAAGAAGAATTAGTACATATATTTCTATGTGGATAAAAATAACAAAGGTAAAATGTGGTTTGTAATTATTATTAACAAATGTAAATGAGAAGAGATTTTTATGTATTTACCATTGCTAAAATT